TGAGAAATAGCCAGAAAAGTAAGAGAAGAGTCAGTGGATTTGAGTGTTACGCAAAACAGGGGAGGAGAGAGTATTGAAAAATAGAGGGAGATCAACAGTGTCAAGTGCTACAGGTTTGTTAAGGGTGATGAGTACTGAAAAAAGGTTATTGGGTTTGGCAAGTTAATGCTCACTGGTAATTTTTCGAAGACCAGTTTAAATAAAGTGATGACAGTGAAAATCAGGTTTCGAAAGATTGAGGTGTAAATTGGCCTTAAGGAAAAAGTGACCTCAGGTCTAGACTTATTTTTTTAAATGGATAAAGGAAAGTGAAATAGATCAGTGGTTAGAAGGATTAAAGGAGTCTTTTTTAGGTTTGGAGAGACTGGAACATATTTGTAGGCAGACAGAAAGAAGCCAATGGGGAGGGAAAGGTTGATAATTCACTAGAGAGAGGTCAAGACTGAAGAGCAAGATCCCAATGGCTGCATAAGGCAGTTGGCAATATTAAGGGCCAAGGTGGCAAGACTTCCTTGTGAAAATCTCAGGTTGACTTACATTGATAAAAGAGAAGTGTGTATATTAAAAAGTGTGGAAATTAACACCTTATGTATCTTGAAGACTACCTAAGGAGATAACTTTAATATGACCAAATCTCTCAAAGAATCAGGGAAGAAGTATTCTACTTTTTGGTTTGTCGTGTACGTTTGTACATGTTTACATGTATGAGTATGTGTTCAAGTTTTATTTTCCTTAGGGACTTAGATGATGAAATAAAGAACTTGCTGATTAAATTTTCAGATGCATTAAAATGGGGTGACTAGTGTCTTTGAAGACAGGATCTCACTTCAAACTGACTGTTTAATTGAGCAAGTTTTAACATAAAATAGTTTCATGAAGACAAATGTGCAGACAAAAATGCATTTGGAAAGATAAGCTAATGATCAACGACAGAGCAAATTGATCAGTGTTCAATAATATAGTGAGCTACAGTGAGAACATCACTGTCCTTGGTTACAATCGTTGGAAGCACATCTGCTAACATGGGTGGAAAGTGGGGAAAGGGCTAACTTTAGAGTCAGTATAAGACCTATGAAATAAGTAGAAAGAAGGCTGAACTTGGAACCAGGAGAGACCTGATTTGGAATCCTATGCCTGAAACATAGTAACTTTATAGACCTGATTGAGTGACAACTTTTTGAATTTCTGTGTGCCCACCTGCTCTGAGGACAGTATTTTTACAAATTTTATTGCTTTGTGAATGTGAGTTGTTATTTTCTATGTCTTTCTATTTTTAAAGGCCTGGCAGAAATCTTATGTTTCTTGAAAAGAAGCATTCCTTGACCACTCTAGCCCACATTGATTTCTTCTTTTTCTGAATCCTTCTCTCTCTTATTACCTGTCCCCCCATATTTAACATTTATTTTGAGTGATATCTTGTGTTCCTAGTTGTTTTACGTGGATTAATTTCCACAGGGGTACAATGACTACATTTTGTACTCTCTTCATAAACCACATGAGATCTTGCATAGTATATTGAAGGCAACCTGTTTAGACTTAGTAACTGTGATCTACAGTTAAACTGAGGCACATGGAGAGAGGTTCACTGATTTGCTCAGGGATACTCTCTTGTAAGCATCAAAGGCCTGACCTGAACCCAGGTCTTCTTGACTTCAAGGCCAGAGTTCTACCCCTATGTTTCTTCTCAGTACTTGGTAGGTACTCAGTAACTACTTGTTTGTCCTTCTGTTGGTTGATTGGGTTGATAGATTGCAGTATGGCCCTGCCTAAGATTGCAAGAGATGGACTAGATGACCTCTTAAGGTTCATTCCACTCCTGAGATCTTATGGTTCTAGGGCAAACAGTAGAAAAACAAAGGGCCTAAAGTCAAATGAGACAAAATAATTTTTGTGAATACAACACAGAAAGGGTATTTGGGATGAAGAATGGGATTGTTGCTAAGTAAGCAAAGAGGCCAAGATAGAAAATGCCCAAGAACAAAATGATTTTAGAAGTTAATAAAACATATAGAAACAAAAGTTTATAGAGTTAATGATTAATTAGAAACTGGGTAAAGCCATAGATGGGCTGATAAGAAATCAGTAAAACAATACTGGCTACACTAAATACCAACGATATATTTTATTAATCACTGCTCACTTAGTTCAGAACAATTGAAAATCTCCTCATACCTCCTGAATCAGTATTGTTAATTTTTCACAATGAGTGTAGAGGATTGGTGACATACCCAGGAACTGGAAATGAGCTTGGGGAGCATGACTTTTAGAGAAAAATAGGAAAAATACTTTGAGGATATCCATTCTAACTGTAATATGTAATAAAGCATTATTGCAACTATAAGAAGTAATCTATTATTTGTATAAATGACCTTTTGGAAAAAATTCTGTTTAAAATCATAATTAGAAAATAGCTTGACGCCACCCCTGGGCATATGCAAAACTCCACTGCTGACTTTTCAGTTCCAGAAGGTGGAAGTGAATCTTGTCTATCTGAATTGCCCAGTCTGGAGCCACTCCTCAGGCCAAGGCTATCTGAGAGTAAAGTCAGAGGTATTGGGGGGAGCAGGTATCATCCTGCCCTTGACCTCTGAATGTTTGCCTTGAATGCTGCCTTGGCAGTGAGATGATAGTGGAGAAGCCCAGAAAAAGTATGTATCCCACACAGAGAGGTAAAGAACAATAATTAATGGGGGAAGGTAATTTGTGATTACAGAAGTATGGCACCAAAAAAACCAAGAAAGGGTTAGGGAAGCGGAGAGGAGTAGATTCTGGTGACAGCAAATATTTAATTATATGCTACAGTGAAGACTGATGGCAGGTTCAAATTTGGCCTCAGACACCTGGTAGCTGTGTGACCCTGGGCAAGTCACTTAACCCTGTTTGCCTCAGTTTCCTCATTTGTAAAATGATCTGGAGAAGGAGTGGCAAGCCATTTCAGTATCTTTGCCAAGAGAACACCAGATGGGGTTATGAAGAGTCAGATATGACTTAACAACAACAACAATAACAACAATAGTATGTACATTCACAAATGGATGGTATTTACAGAAAAACAAAGAAATTATTTGGCTGAGTGAAAATGGTCATAGGAGGCATTATATTAATGTTTAAAACTATTCTGTCATATTTAAAGTTCTACAAAGAATATTGGCTGAAAATTGACTTAGATGATGCTATCAAGGCCCAATCTTATTTCAACTCTATGTACACCTCTTTTACTATATGCAGAATATACGATATGTATGTACTATATTACTATAGTAATATATACTACATATTCTATATTATCATATTTATAATATATAATATATATTACTATATGTATCTTACACCTCTCTTATTATATGTAGAAAAATGATTCAGAGCTGAATAAAAGACAACATACTCTGGAAACATCTTGTGTAGACCAAGAATGCTAGGGGAATTGATGTATGCTCTATAGATGAGATTTTATCTAAACATTCTGCCCCTCCTGCCAGATACATAGCAAATAAAAATTTTTTATCCGGTAGTCAGTACTTCAAGTTCTAATGCTGCTGTTGATTAACCATGTGACTAGCCAGAGAGGTAATCCTTTATTGTGAACTTCCAGGATTTGTTCGGCAGTAGTTGCAGATAGTTATTCTAAAAGAGGTGTGGTGCGGCATATGAGGTAGAAAAGCCAACTTGCAATCAGAAATACTTGGATTCAGGTTACATATATTAGCTGTGTGATCCTCAGCAAGTCATCTAATCTCTCAGTGCAGCAGGCAAATCTCTAAAACCACAAATGACAACATTTGTTCGTCTGCTGTGGTAGGAGTTTCTATGCCAGGAAGTTCCTATACCAATGAAAACCAAAGGTTTTCTCCCCTACTGCACCCCTTCCCCATCAATTTGCCAAAACACTAAGAGTCTGAGTTTGCATTAAATCATAAGATTTAGAGTTGGAAGAGACCTTAGAAGTCATCTAGGTCAACTTCTTATGCAGGAATGACTCCTCACAATGCAAGAGTGAGATCTTGAGGAAAAGTCTTTAGAGAACAATGAAGGGGATCTTCTGGTTTTGATTGTGGGCCTCAGAAATGATTCCAGTGTTCCAAGGACTCCAATTTGAGATGAGTTTTCTCATTCCTGACCCCAGCCTTGTAGGTTTTAGTGGGGAGCACTGAATAATGACCAATTACAGTTCTGTCCTGAAACTGAAAGGAAAGAACTGGAGGTCTAGGAGACTTTGAAGGTTCTCTGGCACCCTCCACGTGGGTACTACTTCCACATAGTCAGGTTATGACCCCTTAACACCTCCTTCCTTCCCTCCTTCCCTCCTTCCTTCCTTTCCTTCCCTCCTTCCTTCCTTCCCTCCCTCCCTCCCTCCTTCCTGGCTTTATGATAAACATAATACATTAATAGAGACATAGATCAGGCAAATGTGTTCCTGTGTTTTGAAAAGAAAAATCTGAGTTCTGTTTGTAGATATAGAGTTTATTGTGGGATAATGAGAGGCATCTTCCACTTGGGTCAGCCTATCAAAATACAAGATTCATAAGCTAGTGTTCAGATCTTTTATGCATGGAAATGATTTTAATATCCTTACTGGAGAATTCTCAGATAAGTGGCACACACATGATAATCTTTATCAACCCCAGACACAAATTGTGTTTAGCTTGAATGGAATGTAAAAGAATTTTGAATCCTAGATATCTATTTCTACCAAGAAAGGCTGTATAGGACAATGGAGACCACAGACTCTGAAGTCAGAGAGTCCAGGCTCAAATCTTACCTCTGGTGCTTTCTTTCTGTTTGAACTCAAGCAAGTCATTTAATCTCTGGGGCCCTCAATCTCCTTTTCTGTAAAATGAGGGGAATGGAATCGATGACCTCTGAAGTCCCTTCCAGCTAACCTATAATCCTAAGATAGATCATGTATTGGATCTGATTCTATAGGAAAATTATGTATCCTTTTTCTCATTTCCACTTTTCATTTTCTTGTCTCTTTCATTGTTGATTCTCTTTTTGGACAGTTTTGGGATGAACCATGATGGAATTGGAAATTCTTGTGGGACCAAAGGTCATGAAGCAGCAAAACTTATGGCAGCTCACATTACTGCAAATACCAACCCTTTTTCCTGGTCTGCCTGCAGCAGGGACTACATTACAAGCTTTCTAGAGTAAGTAACCTCTGGAGAGGACTGATGAATTTTTCCACAAATAAGCCATCTATAGAAACCCAATCATTGTCTCTAGAGCTTCATATGTCGTATGATGTGACATTAATAGAGGTCCAGTAACATGTCGCAGGCTGTTTCCAAAATTATCTTTATATGGTGGCAAGTTCTTTTTCCTCCTTTTCAAATGGTATTATAATAGTCTGCTAAATAGATTTCAGAGGAGCTGGAGCAGGAATATGGTTGGGAGGTTGTTAAATATATGAGTGATTAAGTATTGTTTCAGAAATAAGAAGCTATGCCATGCAGAATTCATACTTATGTGATTTCCTTATTATATACAAACAAGTTATATGAAGATGCTATAAATTTTAATAAAAATTCATTGATAGAAAAACAGAGTATCACAGAAGTTTGAGAGCATTTAATAAAGAGAGAAACCCTATTGGTCTGAATATAGGCCAACTGACTTAAGAGAAATTTCTTTGAAAGGAAAATTGCACAAGCTACATTTGGGATTTGTATAAGGTCAAGCATGGCCTGCATGCATACCGATACAGTAAACACTCAGGGAGTTAGCCCTTAGAGACAATGAAAATGTCTCTTTGCCAAGATCAGAGACTAGCTAACAAATGACTTTTAGCATCTTTCCAGCATTTGAGAACTATTTTGCTGGTCCCTTCATGCATGTTGCAAGAGTCTACTTACTTCAAAGGGAAGGTTATCAGTTAGCAGAGGTATACATTGCCCCAGGAAAGCAGATGTTCTCCCAGTTCTCACCTATGGAACTTAGTTTGAATAGCATCTTAGAGGTTTCAGAGCTTTGTTGTCATGCCATTAACCTCAATTCTTTTGTGTAAAGTTATCCTTGAAGGTGAAGCACTTTGTGAAGAAGGCAGATTGACCTAGAGAAAATTTGGGCAGTGAAGGTTGTTTTTGTTGCTGTTGTTATTGTTTTAAGAAATCAAGTTTACCTAAAGTATATGTTGGCATGATCTCCCTTTACAGATTTTATTTTTTTTATCTTGAGGATTGTTTTACTTAAAGAAAAGAATCCAGTAGTTAAAATGTAATAGGCATGTTATAGCATGGTTTGTGTTAGTGAATGGGTTCAGATATTCTGAAAGTTGAATCATGTTTCCTGATATCTCAAAGTTATATACATACAATACAGCCAGATCCTGATTAATGCAAATAAGGAATCCCATGAAGTGGTCACATGTATTCAAATTTTCACTGTTCACAGTTATGGTTATGTAAAATATGGTAATTGGTTCCAGCCCACTGGAAGTAGGCAGTGCAAGTTTGAATAATGTTGCTACTTTGTGGGAATTTATTATTGGCACTAATCAGTTCCTAACTATATAAGCTTGTTGTAGCACAACTTTAAAAAAATAATTTTTGGTCTAGCTTTCCAACACTAGTGTTACAAAAGAACTTCAGTGAATTAATTAAAATAAAAATATTTAAATGGACTAGAGATGAAAGTCAACTTAGAAGACAGTACTTCTCAATACTTCTCCAATATTTCAAGAGCCCATGTTTTTGTCATTATGTGTCCTTCTTCTGTTGAGGCAGATCTCAGTGGTTCTATAGCAGATCTTTATGATTTCCTGTGGCAAAAATAAAATAAAATAAAAATGTCATTTGGTAGAATAAACTTCTGGTAATGAGCCTCTCTTAACTTAGCTAGGGTGGGCCTCTGATGATGCACATACTACCTTTCCAACTTGGTAGGGCTTGCCAGATTTTGTGCTCTGTCCCAAATTTTGGGGAGTCTCTTACTCCCGTGATGTCAAATTCAAGGCAAAATGGGAGCCACTACACCATAATAAGGATCTTGTGGGCTGCATATTGACTTAGTTTTAAAATGCAATATCATTTTTGTTTTATTTTTATTTCATTTTTCTAAATATTTCCCAATTATGATTTAATCTGTTTGGCCAGCATTTGGAAGTATCATGGACTGCATGTGGTGGCCCAGGGGGCCAAATGTTTGCCATGTCTGACTTATCATCCAAGTAGGCCTTTAGTGAAGGATCTATCATATGACCAAGAGGCTCTTTCTAATCTCAGTAATAATTGACTATACTATCCTTTGTTACATTGCCTACCAAGAAAATTCACACAAGAATAGCCTCAGGGGCATTTGTAACCTAGAGCAGTCAATATCATTTTGCAAAAATGATCTAATCCCAAAAACCAAAATTTTATATTTAGGTAAAAATTTTCTATTTCTCCAGTCAAGATGGAACTGGAACCCCTTCCATGACAGCCCTCACTTACCTAGTAAATTTAAGTATCTGTCACTAGAAAGAGAAATTGTGTGGCAATATCTGTGAATGCCTGTACATTATCTAGGGTTTAATTTTTTAAGAGATTTAATGAGGCTTAGGATTCATTTACAGTGTCCTTCTGCCTGATTGGCCTCAATACATGGGCTCAATCTGAACACCTGTTAGAATTTGCTTAACTGAAACCATATTGTGACCACTCTGTTACTCCAAAAGAGAGTTTGTGAATCAGTGGCCAAATCCAGCTCAGTCCCACTGATTTGGTGAGATTTGCCAAAATAAGTAGAAGTTGCTGTTGTGGAACCAAATCCTTCCAAAGCAGCATTATTCAGGCAAGAAGTTTGGACTTTTTCCAAAGGCAAAAGAGTGAGTGAATGAGATTAATCAAAGTATAAAGGGGAGCATTGGTGCAGTGGAAAAGGCATTGCATTTGGAGTCAGGGGACCTGGGTTCAAATCCCAGACCTTCAAATTCCTGCCTGTATGACTTTGGGCAAGTTACTTCGTTATGTCTTGGTCTCAGTTTCCTCATTTTTAAAATGAGGGATAGAACTAGATGAATTCCAAGGTCCCTTCTAGCTCCAAATCTTGTGATTGTTGTGAGAGTAATGAGATTATTAATCTTAGAATTTATGAAAATATTCCTATCTCACAGAATCAAAGAATCAAAATTCACAAAATTCTTATTCCAAGTAAAAAGTGAGTATGAGAGACAATTGGTAGAGACCTGGGAGAATGTTGCTTTTCATACAAAGTAAAAAATTCTAGTGACAATCTGACCAAGCATGCATTTAAAAAAAAAGTTCAAGGCCCTTAAAATAGACCAGCTCACTGGAGTACAAAGGCAGAAGAGTGACTTCAGTGGATTTTTCTTCTTTCTTATTAATACTCTGACCTTAATTGCTTCAATAGCTACATGTGTTATTTTTTAAAATATAGAGATAATCTGATCAGGAATTATGATTATGTTTTAAAGTTGGCTCAGGAAGGCTCATAACATTTTATTTAGTTTCTTTCCTCAAGAAAAAGAAACCTTGAAAGATGAATTATTAAAAAAACCTCAGCCCAGCCAACAAAATGCATACTTTTCTCTCCTTAGTGCCTGCCTAGGCCAAAGATGACGATGAATTTTAACAATGAGCTTTCTATGATTTATGGAGATTTGCTATTCACTGTGTTGGGCTGAAAATGATTCCTTGACCATAAAAGCCAGTAGAGTACAAGTTTCTCTTGTATCATTCTGAAACACTGAGTGCTGTCAATCCGTCAGGAGGTGGTGTTTACCAACTCCCAATATTTTTTTTCAGATTTCTTAAACTCGGTGATTCAATAAGTGGTTCATGAATCGCCCAGAAGCCGTCCTGATTAAATAATAAAGAACCCATTTCCGTTAAAATGGACGAGTTATGCCAGCTTCTGATGTTTTCCCCGACGACGGCTTTGCAGGTAGTGTCCTTCCTATCTGCCTGCGGGACTATTTTTTTTTTTTAACTTACCAAAAAAAAAAAAAGTAAAGAGAAGATGAACCCGGTATTATGACTCACACCCACTGATGACCATGGGCTGATCTACCATGCAGTGGAGGGCAGCCAAAAGGAATTTAGACTAGTTTTGATATATTTCCCACTATTTAGAGGGAAGATAGAGTAATTTCAAATAGTTTTCAACAATTCCTGGGGCTTCTCTGAATCAAGCAAAGCTTTATTTAGATTAGGGCCTGTTAAAATTGTTTAAACTGTTAAGAGAACCATATCAGACTCTTTCAGTTCCAAATTAAATACACACTAACCATTTTCACAAAAAGCATGGATGCTGAAAGTGTGGGGAACAAAATTATTATCTAACATCCCAGAGTGAAGTAGGGAAGAAAAATTGAAAGATTGGCTCCTGAGAACCAGCTGTCATGAAGGCTGAAAGAAGAATTTCAGGGTGACCAAGACACTAATTAATATTTTTATAGGTTAGCCATATTCAAAGGCTAATGTCAATCTACTATGCAAAAAAATAAGCCAATTAGTGGCTAGATAGACACTTGTAGAGAGATGGCCTCCTTGCAGAATGAAGAATTTTTGACATTTTTATTTTGTTTTTTAAATTTTAGTGTGCCTTAGAAAATAACTTGATAGTCTTCCCTCCATTTTTGTGACAAGTTTCTATTTTTATTATGTAACTTTTCATGTAGCCATATTTTAATGATGTGTGAAAGAAAGAACAAGGACAAGTTAACTAGGATCAGCATGGTTCTTGCAATCTGAAAAAAATCTAGTCTGATTACATTGATCTTGGCTATCATTGAGTATAGCCACCCAAAAGATGAAGGCATTATTCTCAGTACCTATAGTACTGAAGAAATGAGAGGTTTGAATCAGGATGATTTGAGATAAGGAATAATGCAATCCCAATTCTATGTCAAAATTGATAGAAAAGCTCCTATAGATGTAATTTATCTTTCTACATGATAGATTATGATAATCCTGTCCTTTTTTTAAAAATGTGTTGGATTTTTTTGGTGTTTTTTTTGAGGTGGCATGAAGATATTATATTTTTCATAGCAAAGTTTTGAACAAAATTAAAAAGAACCATTTGACTGAACTGTTTTAGATTAGAGGTCTGAAAATCAGAGTGTAAATTGTCTTAGTGAAAGCAAATTGAAAAACATGATCAGAGGAATCGTCATATACTCTGCAAGTCAAGTCAAGTTCATATATTG